ACTTTCACCTCTCTCCACCTGCCTGGCCACACAGCTCCCGCAGGCCCCATCTGTCCTGGCCTTAATTGTCCTTCTAGCCTGGGGACCCGCTTTTTTGAATGGTGAAATGGTGGCTGAGACCAGTGTGTCTGCAACAAGGGCTGAGTGTCACTTTAGGACTTGAAGCCCTCCTGGTACGCTGGGACTTGATGGACTATCTTAGCTGCAGGGTCCCCTGCCTGGGCCTCAGTTGGCACCAGAGGCATGTCACTGATGATGCCGATGGTGTTGGTCACGGTATGGAGAATACCTTGGTGGGACTTGCGCAGGCTCTTTTCCTGCAGGGTGTTTTCCATCTCCATTCACCAGCACAGAGGTGAGACTAGTCACAGCTGGGGAATGAAGCGGAGCCCTGGCCTGTGGCAGGGGAGGTGCAGTTCTGGGGTCCGGCCCCCGAGGCTCCCTCACTGCACATTGGGTCTCTGGTGGGTGTCCGTTGCCCTCTGGCATTTTCTCAGCCCATGTGTCTTACACTGTAGGTCCCAGTCAGCTGCGCCTGTGGGAGGGTGTGGGTAAGCATGTTCCCAGATTCGTCTGTGCTGTCCTGTAGGCCCCGGGCTGGTCACTGTGCTGCTCTGATTTCTCTGTCCTGGTCTTTGCTTTTGTGGGCGTCTAGGACTCTGAAGAGAGCCTTGCTCTAGCAGAGATCTCTTACCTGGGACCCCCACTTTTTTCTAACAAGAGGGGAACGTAGAAGCACGTGGGAAGCCTCCATGGAACTCTAGGTCACCCCAGTAGCAAGTCTAGAACTGCTTGGACAGGACTGGATGCCCCTAAAGTTCCTGGGGCTGGTCTGAGGGCCCAAGGTGAAGAGCTTCTCACTGAGCGGAAGTAGAACGTTGGCTTCCAGGACTCAGCCCCAACTGTCGAGATCAAAGAGCCCCAGCAGCTGGTCCACAAGCTCATGCAAGGTTCCCCCAACCTGGTCCCATCTGGGACTGGGCCCTGTACCCAGAGGAGCCCTAGCTCTCAGTGCTACTGGCTCTGGCAGGGTGCTGTCCTTCCCAAGGATGCTGGAAGAGCCAGTAAGGTATTGGGCGTTTTGGAAGAAAGGGGAGGTAAGGGAATTTCCCGATAGATCTGTACATTCCATGTGTTTGTGCATGCGGGTAGGCAGTAAGGGTTGCCTATACTTTCTATATGTGGGAGCAGTTGTGTGGGATCTCTACAATTAAATTCTGCTTAGAAGCAGGAGGATTTTTAAAGTGAAATTTTACCCATGTGCAATAGTCAAGAAATCCTTTGCTGAGCACCTAGTGGATGCCTGTCCCTGGGTGACGTGTGAGGTGATGAAGGAAGGGGCACTGCCCTCACAGGCCTCACAGTCAGGCGGGAGGGGCAGAGACCCCTGGTCAGACCGAGGTGCTCACGGTAGAGTTTGCTCCTGCCTCTGCTTTGCCTCACAGAGGTGAGATAAATGAGGGCGTGGTTAAAAGCGGCTGTATTATTTCATACTCTAAAATTGTCGAGCATATATTTGTATGGTGTTTTACAGCTTACAAGACACATTCACAACATTAACTTATTCTGCTGGGAGCTCTAAAGGCCTAATATGCAGGATCTAGAAGCACAGCCAGCGAGCTGACTTTAGCAAACCGAAATGCCACAGAGGGAGCACAGCTGGAGAGCCGCGTCGCTTCCCTGCCTCCTCCTCTAAGATGGAAAATTTAGCAAGAGGATGGGGAGGGCTTTGAGGACAGCAAAGGAGCAGGAAGTAGGACATTTGAGCAAAGGAGAGGGTGGGGTGGGGTGGAGATGAGGAATAGTGGAAGCGCCCTGCGTGGGGTCAGAAACTCTGCTGCGAATCTATCCTGACATGGCCCCAAACTGGCTGTGCGTGCTGGGCAGGCCCTCCATTCCTTCTGCCTGTAAAATGAGAGATTTAACTGGATGGTCTCCAAAGTCCCTCCACCTCAGACGGCTGCTGTCAGGTGAGTAAAAAGGAAGAGTGATGCTTCCTGCTGTTTCTCAGCCCCGCTAAGGAGAGAAAACAAGGACACACACGCTCTTGAGGTTAATTAGAAGCAGCTTTAAATGAAGAGGATTGCTCTTCCAGCTTCTCCAGAGATCTTTCAGAGTGGACGAGATGACCTCACAATCAAGCCTTGAGCCAGGAGAGGTGCTGGCTGGCATCTTGCCTCACAGTTGCTCCTGGTAGGCAGGAGCTCTTGAAAAGCCGTTGGCCTCCTTGTACCGGCCGGCCAGGCCCCCACCGGGGCCTGCAAGCCTGCAGCAGCTGCCTGTCCCTAGTCGTGCTCGGCTGCTGATCTCCTGAGTATTGCCCCAGAACGTCCCACAGGTGTTCTGGCAGAGGCCAGTGTGCCCATGATTTCCAGGGGCGCTGGGGTTGGCAGACACTTCACTGTGGGGAGGGCGGGGCTTGGAAAGGCCTGGCCTGAAAGTAACACTAGTTCTGTCCCCTTGGGTGGGGCAGTTGGGCAGGTTCCTTCACGTGCAGAGTGAGGAGATCAGTGTGGTGCTCTCTGCAGTTTCTCTTGCAGCTGTGTGCGTTCTGTAGGCTCAGGCGAGGTCTCCTCCAATGCCAAGGTCCAGCATGGGAGGCCACTTTCTTCAGGGGTGTGGTTAGCTCCAGCGGGTGATGTGTTTGCTCTGCCCGCCTCTTATTTTTCGCAGCTAACACGACCCCTGGTGGGTCCCAGTGTGCCTGCTCCCGTAGTCCCTGACGGCAGCACCGCCGTGGTGTGAGCACCTCAGTGACCGGTGGTTGTGGTCTCCCCAGGCAGACAGCCCCACTGCCGGAAAGGTCTTCTTCCCTCTGTCCCAGGCGGGTTTCCTACCCCTGCTTCTCCCGGCCCTGGCTCCGCCCTCTGGCACAGCCGACTTGCCTGCTCGTGGGGTTAGCAGGGGTCCACTGTGCTCTCCTCTCCCCAAACCCCGTCTCCTCTAGACTTGACTTCTCCAGCTGCTGTGGTGGGACGGGACTCTGGGACCCTTGCCCACCTGGATTGTCCTGCCCAAGGCTGTCAGAATCCTGAGGACAGGGAGCCTTGTAGAATGAATGTCCTCTGGGCTCAGCATGTCACACAGACTAGGTGTGGCACAGTCTGAGGGTCAAGGGACTTCACTCATGCAACCTGAGAACACCTTCCTACCCCTTTCTGAGAACTCTCTGGCGCTACCCCGACACTTGTCCAGCCTCACGTGAGCATCTCCTTCAGAGGGGTTCCTTCCGCCCTGGGCTGGTGCGGCGTGAGTGTGAGTCTGCGGGCCCTGCCTGGGCCCCTGCCGGGCGTTCGAGATCCCTTCCGCCCGAGTGAGACCTTTTGGATCCCGACTCTGCCTCACTGTGGATGATAACTAGGGCAGTATGTTTGTTTTAGGGAGTCTTGCTGTGAGGCCTTCTTCCAGCCTTGTGAGCCCACTTTCCAAGCCCCTTTACCTGACCTTGACTGGCCAGTGCTGGGCTCTTGACCCAAGGTCTCAGTAGCTCAGGCGCATGGCAGTGCCAGCTACAAAGGACAGTGGGGAAGCCAGGACTGGACTGGAGAGGCAGCGTCCCCTGCAGCCCAGCCGCGGGAGCCCCGTGCCCTGCAGAGGAAACCTGTGCGGGCCAGTCCTCCCTCGGTGAGCCATGTCATGCTAGCCTCTCTGGGGTGTGTCGACCGTGGGCTCTGTCAGACAGATGTCCTCGGGAGCAGCACACACTCTGCAGGTGAACATTTCACACAGAAGGAGAAAAGACAGTGAGACGCAGGCCCTCCTGTGAACCGGTCACGCAGCTTCGGCAAAGACCCGCGTTTTGCCAACTTGCTTCATCCGCGTCCCTCCAACTGTTTTTTGGCCGCGGTGTTTTCAGGCAAAGTCCAAACGTATAGTGTCACTCATGAGCACTCTACCAGTTAGAGTATTCTAACTAGGGTGCACCTCTACCAGTTAAAAGTTGTTTTTGTTTTCATCCAGGGACATTGTCACAGCCAGCGAAGTTAACCGTGACTTCACTGCACAGCGTCATACCCGGTCCGTGTTCGGTTTGTCATGGTGATCTCAGAAAATGACTTTTTAGAGTTGGTTTGTTCAAATCAGGATGCACGCAAACCGTGCATATGTGTACTTTTACATATAAGTGTTTCAAGATAATAATGTATATATTCTTACTAACTATATGACTGATGACTATGGTTTAAGGCTTCCTTGCAGCTTCTTTTGTCCTTAGTTTGCATCTTCCCAGGCGTGTGCAGCCACAGCTGTGAGTTTCAGAGTTATTAGAAATGGTTCTGCTCTGTGCGGGCGCCTTTAAGAGGATGTCCATTAAGCTCCATCTTTCCAGTTCGTGTTCAGTTTGTAAGGATTGCTTTTTGATCACTTACCTGTTGCCACCATCGTACTGCACAGTAAATCAGCCAAAACTCAGTGTCTTCAGCCCTGGCTGGGTAGCTCAGTTGGTTAGAGCATTGTTCAGATATACCAAGGGTGCGGGTTCAATCTCTGGTTGGGGCATATGCAAGAAACAACCCATGAATGCATCAGTGAGCGGAACAACAAATCTATGTTTCTCTCCCTCTCTCCCTCCCATCTTCCCCTGTCTCTTTAAAATCAATAATTTTAAACAAACAAACAAACAACAAATAAAACCCAATGGTTTCAGACAGCAATTTTTGTGCTCACCCCGGTTTCTGCCTGTCGGGTAGAATTCCTCGTCTGGGCCCGGCTCCAGGCGGGTTCGAGGTGAGGTCTGCTCCACGCGTCCGTCATCGTGCTCAGACGGCAGGCCAGCCGGGCATGGTTCCCCAAGGTAACGACAGACGCACAGACGGCATGCCCAACCACACACACACACACACACACACACACACACACACACACACACACACACACACTTCAAGCCTCTGCTTGGAATCGCACATCTACTGGCATTCCTTTAGTCAAAGCAATTCATAATTAAGCCCAAAGTTAGGGGGCGGTGTTGCACTTAGTATGGCTGCACAACAAATCACCTCGGGCCTCAGTAGCATAAGACAACCACTACTCTGCTCCCAGGTCCTGTAGGTCAGGAATGCAGGCGGGGCGCAGTGTCTGAGCTTCAGCTGGAAGACTCTGAGGCTGGGGACTGGCCGTCTGACACGTCGTCATCATTTACTTGTCTTCTAGTTGATGCCGGCTCTTCGCTGGGGCCTCGGCGCTGCTTTGTGAGCTAGTCCGAGCTTCCCTGATGACAGTTGCTGAGCTCCAAGGGCGCCCTGAGGGAGAGAGAGAGAGGAAGCCAGGTGGAGGCGCTCCCTGTAGTGGCCCAGTCTCAGAAGACATGCATTGTTCCTTCTGCCACGTTCCAGTGACTGAGGCAGTTACAAAGTCCCACCTAGGATCGAGAGGAGGGGACATGGGTGCCATCTCTTGATTGGGGGGTCCGGGTGCTGTAAGAGCATGGGGGACTAGAAATGTTGCTGAGACCATTTTTGGAAAATAGTTTGCTCCATGGCTGAAAAATTGTTCTTCACCTCTATTGGGAAGAACTGCAAAGTCACATGGCAGACAGCTACAGAAGGTGAAGAATTGAGAATGATACCATTTACCAGACAGTTGTCCCTCGGTACCCAAAATCCATGAGTGCTCAAATCCCTTACGGGAAATGGAGTAGTATTTGTAAAGAACATGGGTGCATCCTCCCTACACTTTAAATCATTTCTAGCTCACTCATAATACCTAATACAATGTAAATGCCATGTAAATAGTTGCTACACTGTATTATTGTTAATAATGACAAGAAAAAATCTTCACGTGTCCAGTACAGACACGAGCATCATACATCTAACTACACAGTACACATTAGCGAGTATGTAACCTCATTTTGCAGCAATGTATCATTTTGGGGGATATTTTCAGTCTGTGGCTGGTTGAATCTGCAGATGCAGAACCTGCAGATACTGAGGGCCAACTGTGCATCTTTCTTTTGGATTTAAGGTTCTTAAAATTATGTAGAACTTTCATGTGATTCCAAATAAAACAAGTTATGTTGAGAGAAATCTAGTTCCATCTTGTACCCTCCAGCTGTTATCTTCCTTTCCTGGCAAGAAACTCTTTTTTTTTCTTAATTCTCACCTGACGATATATTTACTGATTTTAGACAAAGGACTGGAAGTGTGTGTGTGGTGGAGAGAGAGAGACAGACAGACAGACAGACAGACAGAGACAGAGAGACATCAATATGAGAGAGGAACACTGATTGGTTGCCTCCCATAAGCGCCCCAACCGAGGATGGAACTTGCCACCTTCTGGTATGTGGGACAGTGCTCCAACCAACTGAGCCACCTGACCAGGGTAAGAAACTCTTTTTTATCAGTTTTTTTCAAAAATATAATAAAACTACATTTATCTCTCTTTTTAAATAAAAGATTGAAGACTCTAAATAGTGTTCTGTACTTTGCTTTTCTCACGCAGTGTATCCTAAAGAGCGCCCCACAGCGGGATAACAGACATCCTCCTGATGGCTTCGGCCTCTGTGTGCTGGCCCCCATACGGACGTGCCACAGTTTGTCCGTGGACATCGGCCTGTGTCTAGCCTTTCGCTCCCACAGTAGCGCACAGCGAGGAACCTGGTGCATACGTCATTTTCTGTTTTTACCAGTGTATCTACAGGATAGTTACCTAGAAGTCAGATTGCTGCTGACACAAAATGGCAAATACACATTTTTCTGTGTGTTGCCAAGCCTGAGGAGTGAGAGCAGACATGGAGCTAGTGAGGGGTGTAGACGGTCTTCAGGTGTGAAAGGATGGGCACTGACCAAGCAGAGGGGATGGTGGGTAAGAGTGTGAAAAGTGCTCAACTTCTGAATGTATTCTACACATAGTGCCAGGGTTGCTGAAGGGCTGGCCAGGAAGAGTTAGAGAAAGAGGGGTCAGATGACCCCTGAGTTCAGGCCTGAGCAGCTGGTGCACTCTGGGGGGCAGCGGGGGTGGGGCCTGAAACCAGGGCTTTGTTCCTAGGCAAGGGGCGTCCGAGGGAGATGTTAGGTAGGCAGCTGGGTTCTCAAGCACAGGTTGGAAAAATAAAGAAGCACTTCACCTGCCAATGTGTTAGTATTAATGCCACCTGGTTCCTGCAAGTACCCTGAGAAAGGTACGGAGGAGGAGACTGAGGCAGTCCTGGGGTTTCAAGAGGGCAAGTCAAGTACGTTCAGTTCAACAAACATTTGTTTTACCAAAGGAGAGGCTGGGGATGAACACTCAGCAAGAGGCCTGGCATTTAATGCCACTGCTTCCTGCCCAGGCCTGCGGGTGTAAAGGTGAACGGGTAGATTAGCGTCCCCCTTTCCTATCACAGAGCATGTTTGCGTCAAACTTAAGAGTGCAGTGCCTACCGGAAGCTCTGACTCAGCTGGGGATGCCTTGGGGCCTCAGAGGGCCGCCTGTGGTCCATCCTCCTCCTCTTCACAGATGGCTGCTGAAACAGATATGGAATTTGGGCCTCAGGAACTACTTTGGTGAACATGCCAACACACTCTAGGCCCTCGAGGAGTGTAGAGCCTTCGGGAACAGGACCCACAGTCACATAATTGATCTCGCTACACTGTGCAGGTTCTGACTCCGTGACCTGCCATCGGGGCCGGTGTAGAGCCATGGGTGACACAGCCAGCCCCACCAACACCCTCCCCTGACAAAATCGCTCTCCCCAGGGAGCCTGCTTTATCTCCAGGGAAGGCTCTGCTCCCAAAAGATCCTCATTTTGAGAGCCGTTTCTTTGTCTATCATTTTTGTTTGTCGTTTATTTTGATCCATTCAACAAGCATTTAGTAGTGGCACTTTGCAGCAGGGTCTCTGCAGGCTCTGGGCTCCCGGAGGAAATGTGGTCGTCGGCCTAGTCGGAGCCCAGTCTGGGTGCGCAGGCAGGGCTCAGCCAGGCCCCCGGTTAAGAGAAAGGAGTGGCAGCACTTCTCTGGTGTCCCCACTGTGGGTCTCAGCGCCCTGGCGTCCTGCCAGTCTTGGGCAGAGTTGCTTCTGTATCTGGACGGGCCTGAGCCTCAGGTGTTGGCTGCCTTCTGCTGCCTGGTCATTCTGGCTCCTCCCCCTGCCCCCAGCCATCCGCTGGGAATCTTGGCAACTCATGGCTCACACTTCCCTCTCCTTGCTTTCTCCCACTTCATGAGAGGCACTGAGAGGCTCTGAGAGGCTCGCTGCGGGCTCAGGGCCAGCATCGGTGCTGACCCGCAGTGCGGGTGGGGCTGGGCGCTACACAGTTTGCATGGGACCCCTCTGCAGGTGGGGGGTGTCCACCATTGGGCAGGGGGGACTACGGTGGATCTCCTTCCCCTTACTCCCTCTCCCCGTTCTCATTCAAGGCAAGACTGGCCCCAGGGTCACCTCTGCAGCTGTTTTGCCAGTGACCTCTTATAGCCTGACCTCTGAGGCTTTCAGTCCCAGTTTGTCCGCTGGTTTAGCGCTGACCCTGCAGGGCTTGTTCCAGTCTCTGCTTTCATAGATGACAGGGTTGTGCTTTTTTTTGCCAGACCCTTTTCATTATAGGGATCAGCTTTCATGTTCACAGCCTGCTCCCGTCCCTCAGCTGCTTGCTTATGCAGAAGGGGACGATTGGTGGATAGGTGGCTTCTGCCAGGTTCCTCTCCTGGGGACAACTCTCAGGCACTCTTAGGCGTGGAGAGGCCACCTGAAGGGACTCAGGCTTCCTGGAAACTTGTTCATCCTCTCTTTCCCAGGCGCTGTGCCAGGGTCCGGGATGCAGTGGGGAACAGAGGGCACAGCCCTATTCTGGAGGAGCTAAGGGCCTAGTGGGGGAGGCTGACGTTGATCACACCAAAGTGCTGTCAAACAGGCAGGACCGGAAGCCACAAGAACTGCGGCACCAGTTCTGGAGGCGACGGTGGAGTGGGAATGCATGTGTGGGAAGTGTCTGAGAGGGGGTGGGAGTCAGGAAAGCAAGTATGTGCAGAGGCAAGGGGGCCGAGCCTTCTAGGCAGGAGGGACACATGAGTAAAGGCCCTGAGACTCACGTTCAGAGAAGTGGAGGATGGGCCAGAAGCGTGGCTGGGTGCGAAGGGGCGTGTTCTGGTGATGGTCCACACAGCCTGTCTGCAGCCAGCACGGCTTCCTGCTGAGACTGAGGGGCTGGTCCTTCAGGCGAAGTCTGCCTCCTGTGTCCCCTCTGACCACTGCCTAGCTTTCTCCTCTGGGCCCCAAGGGGAGCTCACTGCCCCACCCCATTTCTGGGCTGTTTATCCAGCCAACTGCTCCCGCCACTGTGGGAGGGCACCAGAACGGCCGCTGGCCGCTGAAGGGAGGTAGAGGAGGAGCAGCAGTGCTTTCGAAGCAGTGCCTTCAGATGTACAGTCAAGCTCCTGTCCTTTTCCCAGGGCTCACCACATGCAGAGGCACCGGCAGGGGTGACTGCTGGTCAGCAGTCACTCCACCAGCCTACCCCACTGGAGGACAGCTCACTGTCCGCCCTCGGGGGTCATCGGCACGGTCTCTGCCACTGACCAGCCTGTCCGAGTGCCCCCCAAAACCTCTCCCACCTGTGGCACTTTTGACTCCCTGCCTCAGTCTTACCCTGGAGAACCTGGCGTCCAGGTGGACGCAGAAGGTCAGGTGGCGGCGAGGATGTGGGAAAATGGGTGTGAAGTGGTACCCACTGTGGTTTGGAAGTGCATTTCTCTAATACTGACGATTTAAACATATTTGCCAGTGCTTACTGTCTATTTTTATATCTTCTTAAGAGAAGTGTCTATTCAAATCCTTTGCTGGTTTTTAAATTGTTGAGTTTTAAAATTTCTTTATGTATTCTTGATGGTAGACTCTTATTGGATATTTGATTTGCATATATTTCTTTTTTCATTCTGTGGTTTGTTTTATTACTCTCTTAATGATACATTTGCAGTACAAAAGTTTTAAATTTTTATATAGTCCAATTTACCTACATTTTCTCTTGTAGCTTATGCTTTTGGTTTTGTATCTAAGAAAATTGCCCAATGCAAGTTCATAAAGATTTATTTCTATGTGCTTTTTCCTAAGAGGTTCATAGTTTTAGCACTTACATTATTTAGGTCTAGGATTCATTTCAATTGATTTTTATCTATGGTGTGATTTTTTTCATTTATGGATTTTTATCATGGGGAAAAAGCCCCTTCTATTCCTAGTTTATTCCTAAATTAGCTTTTATAAAATGTTGACTTTTGTCAAATGTTTTTTCCATATCAGTTGAGATGAGCATGTGGCTTTTCCCTTTATTCTATTAATATGGTGGATTACACTGATTTTTTGAATGTTTAACCACCCTCATATTCCAGGAATAAGCCCCATTTGGTCACTGATGCTTACTCCTTCTTATATGCTGCTGAGTTTGGTTTGCTGATTTTTCTTGAGGATCTTTGCCTCCATATTTGCAAGGAAAATTGATTTTTAGTTCTCTTTTCTTGTAGAATCTTTGTTCATATGAATTCTTTTTCCGTGTTTAGTAGAATTCACCAATGAAGCCATCTGGGCCTGGTCTTTTCTTGGGGGAAGTTTCAAAATGACTAATTCAGTCCCTTTGCTTGTTATAGGTCTATTCAGATTTTTAAAAATTGCTTCTTGAGTCTATTTTGATAGTTGGCATCTTTCTTTGAATTTATCCATTTTATCTGAATTACCTATGGGTGTGTGATATTCATAGTATTTTTCTGAAATCCTTTTTCTCTTTTTAAGATCAGCAATGATATAACTGCTTTCATTTCTAATTTGAGTCATTTGAGTCTCTTCTTTTTTTTCTTTGTCAAAGAATGATTGTTGACTTTGTTGATCTTTTTAAATTTAAAAAAATTTTTATTTGTATTTTTAAAAATACACTTTATTGATTATGTTATTACAGTTGTCCCATCCCCCCCTTAATTCCCCTTCACCTTCCCCACCCCCTCCCATCCACATTCCTCCCCTTTAGTTCATGTCCATGGGTCCTACATATAAGTTCTTTGGCTTCTACATTTCCTATACTATTCTTAACCTCACCTGTCTATTTTCTACCTACCATTTATGCTACTTATTCTATGTACCTTTTCCCCCTCTCTCTTCCTCCCACTCCCCTGTTGATAACCCTCCATGTGATCTCCATTTCTGTGGTTCTGTTTCTGTTCTAGGTGTTTGCTTAGTTTGCTTTTGTTTTTTTTTTAGGCGTGGTTGTTAATAACTGTGAGTTCGCTGTCATTTTACTGTTCATATTTTATCTTATTTTTCTTAGATAAATCATCTTGGTGATGATTGAACTCTTTTAACTTGACCATATCTGAGAAGCACTTTATCTGCCCTTCCATTCTAAATGAAAGCTTTGCTGGATAGAGTAATCTTGTATGTAGATCCTTGTCTTTCATGACTTGGAATACTTCTTTCCAGCCCCTTCTTGCCTGTAAGATCTCTTTTGAGAAATCACCTGACGGTCTTATGGGAACTCCTTTGTAGGTGACTGTCCTTTTTTCTCTTGCTGCTTCTAAGATTCTCTCCTTATTTTTAATCTTGGCTAATGTAATTATGATGTGCCTTGGTGTGTTCCTCCTTGGGTCCAACTTCTTTGGGACTCTCTGAGCCTCCTGGAAATCTATTTCCTTTGCCAGATTGGGGATGTTCTTCTCCATTATTTGTTCAAATAAATTTTCAGTTCTTTGCTCTTCCTCTTCTCCTTCTGGCACCCCTATGATTCGAATGTTGGAACGTCTAAAGATGTCCTGGAGGTTCCTAAGCCTCTCTTCATTTTTTTGAATTCTTATTTCTTCATTCTTTTCTGACTGAATGTTTCTTTCTTCCTTCTGGTTCACACTGTTGATTAGAGTCCCAGTTTCCTTTTCATCACTATTGGCTCCCTGTACATCTTCCTTTATTTCACTTAGCATTGCCTTCATTTTTTCATCTAATTTGTGACCATATTCAACCAATTCTGTGAGCATCCTGATTACCAGTGCTTTGAACTGTGCATCTGATCAGTTGGCTATCTCTTCATCGCTTAGTTGTATTCCTTCTGGAGCTTTGATCTGTTCTTTCATTTGGGCCTTTTATTTTTTTTGTCTCAGCTGCATGCTACGAATAAGGGGTGGAGCCTTAGTTGTCCGCTGGGTGGGTCAAGCCAGTCACTAGGTGGTGACACTGCTTGTGGAGGGGTTGAGGGGGAACAATGGCACTTGCTCCACTCTCAGCTGGATTTCTGTCACTTCCCAACTTTCCCATAAGCAAACGGTGCCCTTCTGGTGCCGGTTGCCAGGTGGGTGGGTTCGTATATGTTCTAGGACCATGTGGGTCTCTCCAATGAACTCTCCTGTGAAGCTGGGAGTTTCTCCTGCTGCCGCCTCACCCCCCACCCCCAGGTGTTTTCAATCAGTGGTTTGAGGCTTTATTTCCCCTCTGGATCCCTGGGTTTGGAGGTCTGTCTGGCTCCCCAGGTGTTCCTCTTGGTTTATCTGCACGTGAATGTGGTACCGCCCAGTTTGCCTGCTGCTGCCTGGTCTGCCAGCTGCAGCCTAGCCCATCCAGCTCCACAATCGGTTGCCTCAGTGGGTCCTCCAGCCACGGCCTTGCTGAGAGTCCTCTCCCCCTAGCTGCTGGACTCCGCCCCTCCTACGGGTCTGGATGGATGTTTCTTCTTTAACTCCTTGGTTGTCGGACTTCCATAGAGTTCAATTTTCTGTGAGTTCTGGTTGTTTTTGTTTTTAAATGATTGTTGTCATTCTTTTGGTTGTACGAGGAAGCACAGTGTATCTACCTATGCCTCTAAGTTGGCCAGAAATCTGTTGATCTTTTTAAAGAATCAATGATTTCATTGATTTTTCTCTTTTCTATTCGTTCACTTATTTTCTAATCTTTATTATTTTCCTCACTGTATTGTACTTGTGTTTAGTTCGCTCTTCCTTTTCTTAGTTATTGAGATAGAAGCTTAGGTTATTGATTTGAAGTCTTTATTTTTTTAACATAGACATTCGCAGCTATAAGTTTTCCTCTGAACATTGCTTTCCCTGCATCCTGTATGTTTCAGGATGCTGCGCCTTCAGTTTCAGTCCTCTCAAAGTATCTTCTGATTTCCTTTGTGACTTCATCTTTGACCCGTTGGTTATTCAGGAATAGATTGTGCAATGTACACTTATTTGTGAAATTCTTTCCGTTATCAATTTCTAATTTATTATGTTGCCTTCAGAGAACACACTCTGTATGATTTCGGTTCCTTTAAATGTACTGAGCCTCGTCTTGCGGCCTCGCCCGAGGTCTCTCCTGGAGGGTGCTCCGCGTGCACCAGAGGAGGGCGTACAGGTGGCTGTCAGGCCCTGCCGCCCTGCAGTGCTGCTCATGCCTCCTGTCTCCTTGTTGGTCCTCTGCCCAATTGTTTGAGCCATTAAATAAGGTACTGGTGTCTCCAGCTATTGTTGAATTTTCTATTTTTCCATGTAAATTTGTCAGTTTTGCCTCATGTAATTTTGGTGCTCTGTTGTTAAGTGTGGAGATATGTTTATAATTAAGTATAATTATATGTATTGTATACTAATTATACATGATTGCATATAATTATAAGTAATTGTTTACAATTTTAATCTTTCTAATGAACCGAATTTTTTATTAATCTTCATCTTCAGTAACATCTTTAAAATTCTGTAGTCTATTTGTCTGAGGTTAGCATACCTGCTTCAGGTCCTTTATGGTTGCTGTTTGCATGGTAATCTTAGCCCATTAAAAAATTTCAAACTATTTGTATCTTTTAATCTAAAATGTGTCTCTTGTAGATAACACATAGCTGGATTTAAAAAATCCAGATGATAATCTCTGCCTTTTGGTTAGAATGTTTAATTAATTTTTATTTAAATAATGTTATTGGCTTTACATCTGCCAATTTGCTTTTGGTTTTCTGTGTGACTCATGCATTTTTATTCCTCTCACCCTCCTTTAAACACCTCTTCTGTACTAAGGGACACTTTTAGTGTAAAATTTGAATTCCTCTGATATTTTAATTAATTAATTAATTAATTAATTTAAATATTTTATTTATTTATTTTTCGAGAGAGGGGAAGGGAAGGAGAAAGAGTGGGAGAGAAATATCAATGTATGGTTGCCTCTCATGCATCCTCTGCTGGGAACTGGCCTGCAACCCAGGCATGTGCCCTGACTGGGAATCGAACCGCGATACTCTGGTTCGCAGGCCCGCGCTCAATCCACTGAGCTATGCCAGCCAGGTAATTATTTATTTTAAAGTTATTTACCTAGTGGTTGCTTTAAGGCTTCCAATGTATATCTTAGTTTGTCAGATGCTACTTCAGACTTATGCCAAATCAGGTCCATTGAAATATATCAATAGAAACTTTACTCTGATTAGCTACATTACTTTCCTCCCCTTTTTGCATTGTTATCATTACCTGTTACACCTGTATATTACAAACCCTACAACACATTGTTGTAATTATTACTCTACATAATGTTATATAATGTTGTAGATAGTCAAGTATAGGTCTTTGAAGAAGCTGAGAAAACAGGAAAGGAAGTGTATATTTATTAAATTTGTTATACTAACCTTCTTACTTAGCGTCTCTGAGTCTTCTCACTTTTTCCCGTGGATTCAGGGTACTGTGTGATGTCTCTTCTGCGCTTCAGTACAGCCTCGCTCCCGCCCGTCCCCTTGTGCTGCTTCGCTCGCACACGTTGCACTCCCGCACACCGTAAGCTCAGTAATACACAGCAACTCACGTACAGCGTGTGGTCGGTTGCCTTTTAATCAGCTGAGAGAAGAAATAAGCAGTTATGCTTTCTGTTACACTTACCTACATAATTACCTTCTCCACACTCTGTCTTTTTGTGCAGATTCAAATTGCTGTGTGGTGTCACTTGCTCCCCTAAGTTCCTTTATGATTTCTTTCCCCTCCTGGCTGGATGGAGATATAATTGACCTTTATTATTTCTTGTAATTGCAATTAGCCATCAACAATTTTTACTGCTTTGGTTTATCTAAGAATGCCTTTATTCTGCCTTCATTTAAAATTTCTCTATTTCCCCAGAGATTTGTAAGCTCACTTTATGTTGTTGTTAAAAAGATTGTTGGCTGTAATAAGGCGGAGAACCAAAGACAGAATAATATTATAAAATGATGAAATATCAACGCATTTCTTATTCACAGTTTTTAAAAATGGCAAGCCAGTGGTAGAGAATAACTGGAGACCTATGTGACTTTGTAAACACTGAGATTATTTCAGGTTTGTACACCGTTGTAGGAAATAACACCGAGACTTCCTTTTCCATTTTGCACAGTTTCTCCCAGTGGTAACATTTTGCAAAACTTTCGTGTAGTATCACAACCAAAGTATTGACATTCATACAATGCCCCAGTCTTGTTCCTGTTTCCCTAGGTTTATGTGTGCTCTTCTGAGTCTGTGCTTATGAAGTCTGTGCACATAGTCTGACTGCCTGTGTAGATTCACGTACCTGCCATGAGCATCCGGATTCTGGACAGGTCCAACTGCAAGGAGATCTCGTTGTCCCTTTATAACTGCACCCACATTCCTCCACTCAATCAATAAATCAATAAATCAAAAAATTGAAAGGCAGCAGAGGAACTGTTGAAGGTTGTTGGGTTTAGGAAAATTCTCCTGCCACTGTACGGGACATGTCCAGAGGAGGGGAGCCTGGAGCCCTGGGGCTGACTAGAGGCTTCAGTCACGGCTCAGAACCTCATCGTGGAGCGGGTGACAGAGGTGGCTGAACACGGATCCGAGACAGAAGAGAGGCCCACAGAGACTGAGGAAGACACAGATGAGCACCCATGTTCAAGACCGCATCAAGGCAAGAAACACCGGCTCTTCCTCCTCAGCCCCCGAGTTAGTTGGTGACCGGCGGGGGAGCCCAGCTCTGGGGCAGAGGAACGGTCCCTCTGGGGAGCAGTCAGGGCGGTGCATTCTCCCAGAGCCAAGTGCGTGACGGGGGGCCCTGGGCTCCAGAAAAAGGAAGCCAGGGGTAGGGTGGCCTGGAGTGTGGCCGGGAATGTTGGCGTGACAGAGGAGGAGGTCTGCAGGCAGGGGGCAGTCGTCAGCGCTGCCTCACGTCACACTGGAGACCTGTCTTCGGAGCATCCGCAGAAGTGGAGGAGGTCCTTCCTTGTACTCCTGGGCATGGCAGCGTCCAGTGGGCTCGGCTCTGCCTTCCTTTCCAAGGCCTCACGAGGTGTGTGAGTGACCAGAAGCCTGAAAGGGTCTTAGTAAGAGCAAGGTCGGTCTTCTGCGTGTAGCACCTTGTACCTCTGCCATGGCCCAAAAGTTCAAGAGTGGCCCTGGTGGAAGCACCTGGGACAGATGCCCCTCGCCACCGCCTTCCTCACTGAGGTCCCTCTGTGCTGTCTGTTCCAGGGCGAAGACTGAGTTTCAGTCTAGCCTGGGTTACATCAGCTTTCAGAACGGCACCGGGACGGGGCTCCAGGTTTTCGTACGTATCACTAGTATGGTTTGCTTCTGGAGATTTCATTCTCTTATTTTTCAATAGGAGGTAGTTATTAGATTTCTGAAAACTGTGGGATTTGTTAAATGAGTCACAGCATTCGGCTGAAATAGAGAGGACTCCATCTGCTGCCTTTGCGTGGTCCCCTGTTCAGCTCTCTGTGACCATAAGGGAAGCAGGAGAACTCGGTGTTCCACGAGCACCCCTTGCCTGTCCTGCCTCTCAGCCCCGGCCTCGCTGGTAGGTACGGGGAAGTGGAACCTGGTTCCTGAGACCTTCTCAACCTGAGGTCCCTGCCATTAGGACACTGCATTGACCTCTGCCAGCTCTCCCCTTGGAGTGCCCTTGAGTTTGCCCTTGAGTGTCAGAAATGGGAACATCTGCTGCAGGGACGGTTTTCTCAGGTCCTCGTGGCCTCCTGTGCCCTGATGCTCTGTTCTGTGTCCCTGGGATGTGAGACAACTCATGAAGACTGAATTGGCTCTCTGAGGGCAGGTGGCTATTCCTCAGGATAGGAGGGGTCAGGGGAGCATGAATCATTACAGGGAAATACCTACTGCCAACGCTGGCTGTGCCTCGTGCACGACACTCTTTAAATCCCGGTTTCCTCACCTGGCCCTCCATGGCAGAGCTAGTGTGGGGGTTAACTAAATGGTGGCTGCAGCGGGTTTGGCGTGCACTAAAAACAGGCGGTTTTCTTGCCTCACTCCCACCCACCCCCCACCATGGTCTGGCCTACTCTTCTGCGCTCGCCCCTCTTTCCTTTGTGACAGGTTGTTCTCCTGCGCAGAGTGAAAGAAGAGCGGAGCTGTGAGTCAGGGGATGCTGGCATCCCACGCAGCTCCCCGCAGGCGGAGGCGGCAGCTCTGCGGGTGGAGCGTGTCCCTCCTGGAGCCTCGTGCTCCGTCAGCAGATTGCCCTGACCCACTTGGTTGCTCACATGCTGCCTCTCCCTGGGCAGCCAGGGCCTGGCCTTCCACACCCATAGGAGGGCTGGGCCCACCAGTCCCACCCCTCCACTGCTGCTCCTGCAGGGCAGGGCAGCCTGCCTGGGACCTCCTGAGGGCCACTCGCTGCTGCCCTGGGCTGCCCTGGGCTGCCCTAGTCCTGGAGACGTTGCTCAGAGTTGTCACAGAAAGTGCCCTTGTCTCTGAGACTCACTCTTATCCCAGCTCGCTGGCAGTGTGCGGCCGGGCAGTCTGAAGATACCGGTGCTGTTCCCAAGTTTTATTGTTACAGATGGTTCTCCAGTGAACTTTCAAGTGCCTGTATCTTGTATTTTTGTACCCAGACCTTTGTAAGCTTGGGGTCCTTGTCCAGTTTGTGTTACAACTTCCAGAGCAGCAGCATGAATTTTTGAGCACTTAGGATCTTCCAGCCACTGCACTACAGGTAATTAAAGATCCATGAATGAAGTCCATGTAGAAGGCAAACAAATTTGAAGTGATTTAACTTGAAGAAGAAAGGCTAGGGCAGTAGTCACTGGTTGAAGTCGAATGAAGAGGTGAGGAGTGTGGGATAGAGGGCCGAGGAGCACAGGGCTGCACGGACCAGGGCACTGCTCAGTGCGGGCAGGAGGCCGCATGTGCACAGGCACTGGGGGGCCTGCCTCACGGTGCGGCGGGGAGTGGAGCGGGACTCCTGAGCCCCGTAAAAATTTCTGATTTTACTCAGGGATTCTTTGTTTCCTCCCCACCTTTTTTTACTGAGGTGAAATTGGTATGTCATACAGTTAACCATTTTAAAGTGGATAACTCAGGGGCGTTCAGTACACTGATGTTGTGCAACCTCACATCTCTATCTCATTCTAAAATATTTCATCATCTCACGAGAAAACCCCAGATCCACTAAGCAGTCACTCCCTATTGCCTGCTGCCCCTGCCCTGGGGCAGTCATGAGTCTGCTTTCTGTCTCTATTGATTCACTTACTCTGGATATTTCATATAAATGAAATCATAAAATATGTATCCTTTTGTGTCTGGCTTCTTTCACTTAGCATAGTGTTTTCGAGGCTCATCCACACTGTGACATGTATCCATTCCTTTTGTTTATTGTGGTAAACTATACAGCCCATAAAATTTACCATTTGAATTATTACCTATGCAGTTGACGGCTTTAAGTACATTCAAGTCATGCGACAGTCACCATCGTCCATCTCCAGGTGTCTTCCTAAATTGCCGTCTCCTAAACTGAAACTGTGTGCCCTTCCTCCCCGCCAGCACCTGGTGACCACTGTTGTGTTTCCTGTTTCAGGACTTTCGTTATTCCAGGTGCCTCATACAAATAGAATCATAATATTCTTCCTCTTGTATCTGGCTTATTTCACCTAGCGTAATGTCTTCAGTGCTCATCTGTGTTGTAGCCTGTGTCAGTATTACCTTCCTTGTTAAGGCTGAAAACTATCCAGCCTATGTGCACACCACATCTTGTTTATCCATTTATCCACCAATGGGCACGTGGGTGGTCCCCCCTTTTGGCTAATGTGAATAACGCAGGGATTCTTGAGTCTCAGCAGCCTGGTGGGTAGTTAGAGCAAAGGCATGTTGACCCTCATTGAGACGATGCTAGGATTTGGGAAGGAGTCCAGAAACAGGGTCTTCTCTCCCATTCCAGGTCTCCTGGATGGGCTCCCCTAACCCTGACCCCAACCCCTCCCACACCTCTGCAGCTCCCTGCCCGCACTGCACAGCTGCCACCTCAAAATCTAAGCCCCTGACGTGTCTTCCCTGGATGTGTTTCCACTCCCCCCGGGCTGTCTGTGTGGCTCTGCTCGGGTATGCCCCCATTCCGAGGTGCCCCCGACCCACCAGGGTTGCCTTCCTTCTTCGTCATTGGTATCATTCTTCCAAGCACATATCATATGAATTAGGCTTACCTATTTGTCTTCCTGGTCTCGGCTTATCTCCTGCACCATAGGCAGGTTCCATGAGATGAGTGGCCGTGTCTGCCTTGCTCACTGCTAGGTGACGACGTCTGCAGTGCTGGCCAGTGCCAGGTGCCCTGCAGCTCCTGCTAAGGATCTGATGTTCAGTGAAGCCCCACACTCGTGCTGCTGTGGCCGCCGTCAGAGCCCTAACCACTTCTGTCCCCACCCCCCGTCCTGCATCTGGATCACATTTACCACATCCTCCTCCCTGAGTATCCCCCCTGTCCTCTGGAACCATGAACTACCTTGAATGCCCAGCGCCCTCTTCCCTACCTTCTGCCAGGGAACAGCCTGGCTATTCCAGAGTCCACAGCATCCCCCCGCCCCCCCGATCAGGGCCATCCAGACCTCCTGCTTTTACTCGCTCCTCTCAGCCAGGGGGCTTTGGGCCTGCTGCACGAGTCTGGGCCTTGGGCCTGGTCCTGTCCCTCTTGTCAGCCACAGGCCTTGTGTTTCTACCACTCTCTGTCCCTCAGCACTGCTGGCTGGACTTCCTGTTACTTCCCACTTCCCTAAAGACTTTGGCATCAGAACCCCAGGCTTCCTGCCCACTCCGCTTGCTGTCAAGCCAGGAGAGGAAGGAAGGGAGGAAGGAAAGAGCTCATGTTTTTCTCAGCGCCTCCTGTGCACCCAGCACTGCTCGTCCTCAGGCTGGGGCGACCCCGGCCCCTCTGCTGGCTCAGTCTGGCTCAGGCAGTGGCCTTCCTCTTGGGGGCAGCACCCACAAAGAGCTCGACCACACACGTGCTCACGTGCACTCTCATGAGCACATTGGCCCACTCTACACTCATATGTGTGCACATGCACTCGCACAGCATTTCTTTATGCCTCTGTCTCAGGTCTGAACCTCAGACCCATAGCAGACACCTTCCTTATGAGAACATCTGCCTGGATGGATGCTAAGCCTAAGTAGCTGAGCTTAATGTTCTGAACACATGAAAACGTGTCAGTAGGAACATAGGCATCCCTGAGTCTCTGCTTCCAGATGTTGAGCCCTGGGAAGAGGAGGAGATAGGGGAGGGACCTCCTGGTGGTCACCCAGGTGGCGGGCCTCTTCTGGTCAAGGGAGGGTCCAGCTACCTGACAGGAAGGGATTGATGGCTCCTTGGATGGGAGGTTTTGGCCTTGGGCCAGACCCACGGGCCTAATGAGAGTTAGCTACCCCGAGGTATGCTGACCAGTGAGGGGGGCGGTGAGGATCAGTCCTTGAGGCAAGAGGGAAGAATGGAGGGTGGGTTGGGGAGTGATGGGGGCACCTCCTGCAGGAAGCCCCCCAGCCTGTCACCTCCCTGGGAAGTCTTTACCAGTGGGAGGCCAGCTCCCTGAGGGCTGGTGGGTGAGAAACTGCAGGAAAGGTGAAGAAGTGGAACCCAGCACCTTGGTGGCCCCCACAGTCTAAGGGAGAAGGAGGGGTGGAGCTGAAGTGCCACAGGTAGGTGTTACATTTCTCCCTCGGAGGCAGGCCCCTCAGAAGCTAAAGGCAAGGTAACCACAGAGGAAAGAGAGGGGTTGGCAAGAGTGGGAAACGAGCCATGGCCACCTGCATTTTTCTGTAACTGGCCTGACAAAGCAGGTGGACCACAGACCAGTGATGAAGGCTGGAGCGTGGGGGATGGCTTTCCTTTTTAAATGTCCTTGAATGTCGCAGTGGGTCTTATTTAGAAGAGGGCATGTTTTTCCTGCTGGAATCTTGCGTTTCATTTGCTATGTTGAGATGCCATTTTCTGTCATTCTGATTTGCTTTTACACTTCCTTAGCAGCAGCCCCGTGTGGGCCGGAGGCGGTGCTGTGTGTGCAGGCGAGCTGAGAGGGGTCCACAGGTGCCATGAGGGGCTGTCCTGCATGAGGCATGAGAAGTGGGCAGGAGATTTCTGGGGCTTGGGCCAGGGTCTGAAGGTTGAATTGGGTTCTGCAGAGAGGGCCTTTCAGAAAGAGCAGAGTGTAAGCTGGGAAGGGTGAGGGTCCGGTGAGGGTGAGGGTGTCCAGGGTGGGGGGGCGGCAACTCTGGAGCGCTAGTGCACCTGCCCTACCTGTGGAGGGTGGCGCTGGTGGCATTTCCTTCCTGCCTCACTGGGCAGGAGGAGTGAGCACCGTGCATGGTTTGGCCTTCTCAAGGCCCATGGGCCGATGGCGGCAGCGGACACCGAAGAGCCAGGGCTCTTTCCAGGGGGCTTCCTGGGTGACACTCCTGAGCAGGAGCCATCCTCATGTCTCTGCCCCAAACTTCAGAGTGCTCTCCCCCCACACACTGCCTGTCATCAGCCTCACAGGCCTCACAAGCCCCAGGGCTGCGGCAGCACCCCCTCTCTCGCCCATGGCAGGCGTCAGCCCCCTCCGCCACAGAGGACCACTGATGCCCCATCAGTCACCTCCATCCTCAGTCGACCCACCCATCGACACTGACCGAGCCCTGCTCTGGGTCAGGCTCCATGGCGGTGAGCACGTGTGGAGGAGGGGCAGACGGCCCACTTCTCCCTGGGACCCCCTGCCCTGCCCCTGCCCCCCTCCAGGGTTTTCTCTGATCCTGCCGGCCCACATTCATTTCTCCTCAGAGCCCCAAACTTCTCACCCCCCCCACCACACACACAACTGTGCACATTTAAGTTCTGATTATTCTGTGTGTGATAGAAAGGGTTTTTTGTGTGAGAGCACTTGTTTTGAATTCTTTCGATTGTAATACATTTGAAATTGCAAGGCAAAGGCATGGTTCTGAGGCCTTCGTTCTTGTTTCGTCCGTCCCCAGTATTCAGGTGCTGCAGGTCTTTTGTCCAGAGGCAGGCTTCTTCCGCTGCAGGAGTGGCCCTACCGAGCTAGCGCGGTGCCCTGGGCTGTGAGGGCAAGGGGCGGAAGGGCAGGTGCCAACAGGGCGACTTGGGAGCTGGGCAGGGGTGCCACCCTTCTGTTGTTTTACTCAGGGTTGAAACTAAGGGCCAGAAATGACTTCCAGTCACAATTTTCTTTTACCTTTTTGGAGTCACAGATAAGTTTTCCTTATTCTTATACAGAAATATAAAAAGCAAGCAAGCTATTGCTAGGGGAAACACATTTTTAAAATTTAAAGTGAAAGAAAAGCAGGACTGATTTCTGGACAGGGAGGTTTTTAATATGGAAATGGGCAGAAATTACTTTGGTGTTTCTTCCTCCCTCCAGATACATAATAGACAAAGCTTTTGGATTCCTTCAGCTTCCAACGAGAAAGCAGTCTCAGGCCAGGTGGGCTCCTCGCTGCAAGCCCAGAAGAGCAGGCGCTCAGAAGCTGGATTTCCAATCCAGCCCTGTACCCTGTGCCCAACAGGTGTTCAGCCAGCTCACGTATCGATGAGGCAGGCACTGGGTTTCCTGCTAACTGCATTGCTGGCCCATAGGCTCAGTGCTACATCCTCAGCCCTGGATCTGAAGGCGGGGCCACAGCTTGTCAAGCTTTCTGGGTCAGAGTCCTGGCTTCTGCCCTGATGCAGCTGGGGTGGGAAGAGCAGGGCCTGCTGCCTTCGTGGCCACAAAGACTTACGGTTTTCTCTTAATTCATCTTGACTGCCTGGTTTCAGCAGAACTGGGAAGAGAGCTGACAAGCACACACTGTCCCCTTGGTGAAAGGCTGTAGAATTTGCAGGAACTAGAAGTGGGGAAAAGCTAGCTCAGCTTCATGTCATGACTTTGGACTTCCGATCAGAGCCTCCCAGCTTTAGGAGCTTTTCCCCTCAGGCAGAAAACTAGGCTGTTTCGCCCTCAAGTTGTTCCTGTGTGGGGTCCCAGAGCAGATGTCTGCACACTCGGGACAGGGTTGAGACCAGGAGTCTTTGTGGGCCACCCCTGGGAGCCATGGCCCTTGGAACACTGGGCTGGTCAGCGTGAACAGAGTGCTGGCCCTGTGGCCAGCTGAGCCTGGTAGGAGAAGCCCTGGGGGTACCTGGCTGGCCTAGAGGCATTCTTAGAGGATGCCCCAGGCACCACAGACTGTGTGTGCCGTAGACCTCAATGCAGAGTGTACTAGGACTTCCCCAGAGAAAGATCAGCATCCTGGGCTCAGTCCTCATGGTGCCCAAAGGGAACAGTCCCCAATGCTGGGACTCTGCTTCCACTGGTGTCCTGGGTCAGGCCACCTGGAAAGCCCAGGGATTGATGGTGGGGAGCCCTTTCAGGAGTTGCAGACCTGGATCTCGGTTTTGGGAGGAGATACTAGCAGGTCACCCTCCTGACATCTCATTTTTCCTTGGTCTTCTTGGTTCCCAGCCAGGGCCCCCATCTCCCCTGGTTCCCTCAGGAATGTCCTGCTGAAGAGCTGTTACCCAAGTCTGATGAATAGGTGGGAAAAAGGCATTAGGGCACCAAAAGCAATAACACACACTGCCTACTGCATTCTAGCTAAAGAAGCCAGCTCCCTTATGCACTACAGTAAACCCCAACCTTTGAATCCCTTCCTCTTGGAGTTGGTGGTGATTAGCTGAACCAACTGTTGTAAATGGTGAATAGCATAAACCTGACTGTTTAACTCACCTGCAAGAAGTTGCATTCAAGCCTTAGGAGGGTCATTTCCTACAAACTTTGCCTAATTACAAATTATTTTATATCAACTGATTAAAACAGCACTTGGAACTGCTTCCTTTGACTGGCAGATAGGGATTGTACTCACAGCAGAGTCCAGGAACCCCTGCCCTCTTTCCTGGGGTCCTCCAGCCTCCGGGGTGCTCAGGCTGACCAGAGAGACAGACAGTAAACCGGAAGTGCCTTGCACTGGGGCCAGGCTGGTGGGGGTACATATTGGGAGGGAGGCCCCAGGAGGCGCCGCACCAGAAGTCAGGGTCTAATGGTGCTGGGGAGGTGTTCAGCTAGCCCCCTGGAGAGCCCTTGGTCATGGGTGCAGGAAAGCCCCTCCTTGTCCAGGAGCTCCAGGACTCGGGCAGGGCTTGCATTAGGGGGTTGTGGTGACGCTCTGGAGTCCGGCTGGTGTGACAGGAGGGGCCGCTGGCAGCAGGCTGGATCAGCCACTGTGGAGCCGGGCCTCCATGGGCTTCAGGAAGT